TTTTTTTTTTTTTTTTAATTTCATTAGTCCTAAATGAAAGCAAACAAAATATTTGTGTGTGCTTACCGTCCTGTAACACTGTCATGTGACACAATATGACAAACCCTTGATAAAACTACTCTACTGTCAAGTGCTGTGGCACATTAGTGTGTCATGAGATGATCCAATATCACTGAATTGATCCGAAAATTTGTATTTTATTGACTTCAAATAATGTTTCTTTTATGATGTTTGGTGATTGGTAGAACTAAATTCCGTCAAATGGCAGATGGTAGAGAATTAACCAGTGTATTCACCTGCAGTTTCCAGTAAGATTTGGTCACTTTTTGTCTGGTGATACCATGATATTTCTCGAATGGAAGCTTTTGATCCTTGTCTCAATAAAGGTCAGGAAACACTGCCGTCGGTCAGTAATATGAATTGACACAGCATGGTTCGGTGGTATAACATACTGGGACTGTAATATTTATCTGCGATGGCAAAAGATGCTATGGCATGAGATAACATGATATTGTATGAGAAAATAAGAGCATCTGACGTTTGTTTCTGGAACGGTCTGGTCAAAAAAATTGAAAGACAGTGGTCAGGTGTTAATTTGTACAGCATCGATAAGAAGAAACTAAAAGACAGAATTACATGATCCATCTTCATGGCTTTTTATTGCGTGGCCACGATCAAGAGAAACAAAACAAACGATGGGACAGATTTCTCTTGCTTATCTGAGAATGATGCCAGTCGAATTTGGCGGGCAAAAGAAAAGCGATGATTGTGAGCCTTTACTTGCTAGAGCCCTTGCCAGTGCAACGCCCTCCGAAGCCACACTGCTTTCTTCTATAATAGGAAGCTCTGATCATGAGACATATGACGGCGCTGTACTCTTCCATGTCGAGCTTGCCGTCTTTATTCTGGTCCAACTTTTCAAAGAGCTTCTCCAGAACGCTTTCATCAACGTTCCCCTGTGGAGCACAAATTGGCCTTTTTAAGGAAGAAAAAAAAAAACAACGAAAAAAAAATGGTAATGTACTTGCTGCGTTGTCGCTAATGTACCTTGCACTCTTTTTCGATGATTGCTCTAAATTCCTTCTTGTCCAAAACGCCATCCTCACCCTTATACTGATCAAAGAAGTCCAACACTGCTTGGATGCTCTGGTGGATTTTGGCCATGGCTACTTGGGCTGTGTGAAATATATGCTCTTGGTAATTTTGTTGTATAAAAACAGGACAGACATTTCTTTAACAAAATAAAATAAATAATAAAAATACAAGTTTAAATGTATTTGTTGAAATGGGATTGTTTGAAAATGTCCGGGTGATTAGTGTTAAGGGGTTAAGATTAAGTTGTTAGGGCTATGGAAGGTTTAGATCGAGGATTTGGGTTGGTGTTAAGATAATGGTTACGTGGTTAAGGGGTTAGGGTTAGATTTAGAGTTGATAAAGTTAAGGCTGGGGTTAATGGGTTATTGGAAAGGGAATGGGAACAGGAGGTTGTGAATAATTGCAGGAAGGGGCTGTTGAAAACGTTGCACAGACTATTTTCTCGAAAGTAAACAAAATGCTTCCTATGATTCATAGATTGTGGGCTTCCTTCTAACAGAAACACAAACTAATGCCTGTAAAATGATTTTTGTGTCCTAATGAACTTTTTGGGGGCCGCCGGAGGCAGATGGGTTTTTTTTAACACATCACCCAAGGCGAATTTACAGTTTCAAAGAGTAATGGTTTCAACTTAAAAGCAAATAAATAGAAATGCACTTTAATTATTGGTTTGGATTAACTAAACAGAT